CTAGATCGTTTTTCCAGTGTAACACAGTAAAATGTTTGTGTTTGCTGTTCCACTCAGTTAGTTCACATATTATAATTGCTCCTGGTTTGTGCATCAGCTTTGCTCCTGCAGTCAAGTTTGAAGTGTGTTTTTATAAACCTTTTGAAGATCAGGTAAAAAGTTGCATGATGTAATGTTAAATGGGGGCCATTTATCCAATTAAACATTTTTATTGGAAGTTTTTAAGCATTTCAAATTCAATTTGCACTGATATTTTCATTTAATTACAGAAATAATGAACCTCACATTGAAAAAAAAATACTGTATTTAAGTATTATTAAAGCTTTTATTGTAAAATACTTTGCTGATGTCTTTTTGTCATCTTTTAACTCCATCTTTTAAGTCCTGTAGAATGCAGGGGAACGGATGAAAGTTCCTATGAGCTCCGCCTTTCCGTCTGACCTTCCGGCGTCTCGTTCTGCTTCTCGGCGTCATGATTGCTGCCCTGCTGTCTCCTTCTGGACCATCTGCCTGCTGTGTCTCTGGGAGCGTCCTCCCATTCGGCTCCAACGCTCAGGCTGACGTTTGTGTCACAAATATCCTGAGCAATGTTCTAATAAAGGCGGCTGAATATTCATTAACATGGAGCCCCCCCCAGGAAGACAGCTGGGAGCTCAGACCTGATGTCAGGAAACTGAAAGAAGACCTTTAGTCTTCATTAAACAGTTTTCCTTTGGTTTTTCTGATCTATTTTTTCTATTTTGAATAAAAAAATACCATCAAATGTTATCCCCTCATTTCCCTTCTTTTCATCTTTTTTATTCTTGTTCTTAAAACAAGAACAAAAACTTAAATGTGTCTCAAATGTTGTAACCTCCCCCATAATTCTTTATCTGATGTCTTCTCTAGGAGAGTTTAAGTCTCAACACAAATTTCTGCGGCCATTAGCGAACCTCCTGTTATTCCCTCCTATTCACTGCTGTATTCATTTATAATTTCAATTTAATTCTATTCAGTTTATTTCTATAGCTCCAATTC